CTTGAATTACGAGAGTGCTGATGCACACACTTGGGCACTATAATCCAGTCCTGCGCAGATGGCGAGTCGCCCTTTAGATTAGCGCCGTGACTGAAATTCATTCAATTCAGTCTGAAGAACATTACTTTGCATTGATAACTGTTTCTTGATCTGTTGAATTCTAATCAGCTTTTGAATCTACTGCTGTGATATTATGCTTTTTTTTAAAGATTTGTGTGTGATTGTACGAAATAGCAATAAGTAGCGCCATCAATCAAAATCCATAAGTGTATTGTATAGTTAGGCTATGCTCGGGGTTGCTCTGCGTGATGAGGATATCCGCAGTAGAACGAGAGTGACCGACATAGCCCAACGGATTAGTAAGCTGGAGTGGCAACGAGCCGCCCATATAGCTCGAAGAACCGACAACCGATGGGGAAAAAGGGTTCACGAGTGGCGGCCGCGTACCGTCGGACGAAGTGTAGGGCGTCCCCCCACTAGATGGAGTGATGACCTGGTAAGACATGCAGGAAGTCGATGGATGCAGGTGGCTCAGGACCGTGCTTTGTGGCATTCCTTGGGGGGAGGCCTATGTTCAGCAGTGGACTTGTGAAGGGCTGTAATGATGATGATAATGATTGTTTAGTTGCCTCTTATTATTCCCACGAGGCGAAATGAGGAGGTGATTATTCTTACGCTATCACCACACACTAATAATAAAGTTCAATCTGAAAAAAATAAGTTATATTCAATGATTTACGGTTTCTAAGCTAGCAACTGACTCTAAATTCTAACTGATTCGAAAGTCTTCAATAAATTACTAAATCGATTGCTTTATAGAAGTGCCTTCTGATTTGCTCGTCCCAATTACATAATTTATGTTGACCTTTAGGTTCTGTGCAGTGCCATCACGACTTCGTGGTACGTAAATGTTAGACGGGTTTCTGTTTGTTCACATGATCTTTATTTTTAAATTCATCACCTAAACTGTAAGACAAAATTGTTAAAATTCATGTTTGCGACTCTATACCACAGAAAAATGAAAATAAGAATTAATGAAGGAAAGAAGGTATGCACGATTAGTCATATTTTTTAATAAAATTGAAATGATTTTGATGCTATTATGCAACAATGATTCAACCCACAAGTTGAATATACTTTCTGTATTGATATTTTTTGAATGTTAGATGTTTGAAGTTTGGTTGACAGTGGTTTTACTCGATTTGTTTGTAATTTTGCTTTTAAAGAATTGCGTCTTTCTCGTATGTTATTTTAAAGTTAGTAAAAAATTACTTCGCGTAAATCCGCTCGATAAAATAAAATGATGTGTCTTACCTAGTATGAAGAGCACCTCCCGCCCTCCCTCAATTGCGTGCACTATCCCCGTCACCACTAATCCCAGCACCGCTACTCCCAACACCACTACACTAGGAAAGACATAATACTGACGACAATACGACACGTGTTTCGCTTCTAAGCGAGGCATCTTCAGGTGATGTGGACTCTGCGGTGGCTGACCGCTAAGTCATCGGATGTACGCGAAGTAATTTTTTACCAACTTAATATAATGGATTTCCGCAAAGTAACGCCTGATTCTATTAATTATCGTATGTTATTTAGTTATAAGAAAGTATTAACCCCAATAATTATTTTAATTTGTATTTTACACTTATTTGAAACCAAAGTTTGGGTTGAATTCCTTTAGCGTAACACCTCAAAGTACTAATATGTAATGCCTCACAGCCTGTTAATATACTGGCCCTCTATATGTTCCAGACCAGAACATAGCTTTTTGGTGCTAGAAATTCGGCATACAAGGAGTTCTAGCACCTTGTAACCTTTAATTTGATAACCTAAAAATTATCATAGAATTTTCTGTACACCCTTTTTACTGGAAACGAGAGTTTCCATGTTCGTATTCTGGGTTGAAATCACATCTGAATTTTGATTCTTAACCGAGGATAGACGTAGATGTCTATGACCCACAGCATTCACTTACTATCAAGTGGTGTGTTCGCGTTTGTCGTATAAAAAAAAACAAATCAAAACAATTACCAAATAGTAGTTTAATTTTAAAATAAATAACATCCTCTGTTCATATTTCCCTATACCTGCCTTCGCCGGTTTTCTTCCTGAAAATTATCATAAAGAAACTTCTTTCGATTTTCAGTTTTTAGAATTTTCATGAATCTACATTTAATGATACTCTATGATAAGATTTCGGTACACCCACTTAAAATATAGAGCTTCAATAAGAACCAATCTTTAAATAAATATTTCAGAATCGATACCTTTAAATGCAATTCACATCCTCTAAAACGTAATAGCGACTTAATTCCACGATTTTACGACACAAATTCGATTAAAATCCTCTTTATCGTTTCCGCCTTTTGTATTGTAATGCTTTTACAAGGGCATGGGTGAAAAGAATACCCTTATAGACGGTTGTTATTGTGGGAGAGAGGCGGAGATAGAAGAATGCAAGGCTACCAGGTCGCAGGTACACTGACCTGACCCAGTTTCCGATGCAGGGCAACGTGTAAATATTGATTCAGTGACCTCCTCCCACTTGTTGCTCAGGTGCGGATGTCTTTAGGAAATCCGTGCCTTTTTGAAGGTATATCGACGGAATTAAAAGAGCTTACGACGTCTGACTCCAAATTGGATTTGGTTTATTTATTTATTTCGTTCCGTTTTAATTCTTTTTTTTTGTGAAGCTGAGTCTTTTTTTAGTCCTGCTTTAGGAAGTTTATAATATATGAGGAGGATAGATAATCGAACTGATGATTTGATTTATCCCTAGACTGCTCGTATACTCGTCAGCCTTGGTCGGTCAGAATCTAAGCGTTCTTTTTATATTTCACAGTACTCGAACAACTCAGGTTCAATCCCTGCCAACACCGATTAAACTCTTAATTTCAGTGCTAATATACTACGGGTTTGGTGGTGAAGGTAAACATAGTGAATAAAACTGCACGTATGAGAAGCAAAATATTTGCAGTACATTTGGAATTCGCGTGAACAGGAGCAGCGCTGCAAACCATTTTTTTCGAGGCATAACTACGCTCAAGCTGTTCATGGTTGCAGCACAAATGGGTCGCCTCGACCAGGGGAGGACCACGCTCTCACAGATTACTGGCGTGAAGCAGCAGAAAAATGCTGTTGTATTTCGTTTTGTGAGTGTAGAGAACCGGATACCCTTACTGGGAGCGAGGCATTCCACGTTCCTTGCCCTAAAACCCTCTCAGAAATTAAAGGAGGCCTGTGCCTAGCAGTGGGATGTATATAGGCTGTAACTTTAACTTTTTAAATACAAAATGTATTTAAATACGAAATTCATTTATTTGCAAATTGTATGTGGTTTTATTACCTCTGCATTAGCCGGGGAGTAAGAACATTGCAAATGCCCCGCTAACATTCTGATAACGCACTTAGCGGGAACCACACAGTTTTTGTTACATGTTGTATAGTCTGTAACTTTTTTACTGCTCGTATCCGCTAATCGATAGAATCGAAGTTAGGTTCGAATATAATGTCGAAAACACTGTGATATTCAAAATCCATACAAAACATTTTTTTTTTGTAACTCATAAACTCAGCTTTGGTTCATAAAAAAAAATCTGGACTACGAAGGTACGCCAAGAAACCAAAAGATACATCACACCGATTTTGTATACCAAGAAGTGGTGGAGTTTTTATAAGAATAATTTTAGATAATCTATTATGTATTAAACTAAATGCGAATGAACTTTTAGAGAAATATCTTATTCGTAATATGCGCAGCTCGCTACATAGGCAATGTTAGATAGAAATAATAAAATGATAATGTTGCTAAATAAATAATTATTGCGCTAACATGATGTATAAATACATGTCGTATTTCTAGTTTTGCACTGAACTTAGATAGAATAGAATATTGATATTTATGATAAATTATTACATAATAATAATTGAAAACCAAGTTATTATTTACCACTGGTTCAGAAAATATTTCTGTTCTGAGATCAAACAGGCAGAAAGCCAAGGAGACATTTTTTTAAAGCATAAAATTTTACATCAGTTAAGTAAAGTTGCAGCCTATTTACGTCCCACTGCTGGGCACGGGCCTCCTCTCATTTCTGAGAGGGTTTTAGGGCAAGGAAATGTCCGCCGCGCTGCCCCAGTGCGTGTTGGCGAACTACACATGGCTTCCAAATATTTTTTTCTTATTTCTCAGACATGCAGGTTTCCTCACGATGTTTTCCTTCACTGCCGAGCATATAGTAAATCAGCACTTAAAGTTGCAATTAACAATTTCATTGGTGCCGGCGGGATCGAACCCGGGTTGCTCGAATACTGTGAAGCTTACAGCGAGCGCTAACCATCTGAGCAACCACGGCTCAAAATCTTACATTACTAGTGTATAATTATTTATCAGTATTTTAATGGAACTAGCATGGTAGAGATTTTTATTACCGGGAGTTATTTTCATTTATGTATTCCTTAGTATTATAATGCCGCTTTTATGTAGGTTTGTGTGCGAGCAGCTATACAAGTCTAATAAGACCTATATCACTGCGACGAGTAAGATCTATAGAGATCGTTGATATGGCTACATATTACTGATAAGCCCTATATGTTCAATGAATTCAAGGAGTTACTTAGCTATGAGCATTTTCACCAAACATTTACATACTGAATAAGGTTGTCAAACGAGCACACAGTCAACCTGATGGTAAGTGATGCCCCATAGACATCTACATTTATCCTCGATTAAGAATCAAAATGCAGATGCGTTGTTACCCCTGAGGACTAAGATGGAATGCCTCGTATTCTGTAAATAGGATCTGCGGTTCTCTACACTCACCATACAAAACACAGCATACCAGCATAAAATAGCAGCCTTAAGCTGCTATTTTACGCTGGTATTATGTAAGAGCATGGTCTTACTCCGGTCGAGCCGACCCATTCATAATACTACCATAATATAGTTGCAGCGTGGCTCTACGGTGTAGTTTAATTGTATTTTCTATTTGTTGCAGCTTGGGTGCTGGGCTGGCTGATGTGCAAGACTGTGCCATACGTTCAAGGGCTGTCAGTAGCAGCCTCCGTGTACAGTCTCGTTGCCGTTTCACTTGACAGGTAAGTCTTTGCTGAATTTTTTCTATTAATTATGCAATGTGTTGTGTGTGACGAATAAACAATTCATTGATTTATTTAAACTTGTAGCTGGCTTCAAAAAAGGTGGTGCTTCTTAATCCAAAAATCAAAAACAAAATTGTATATATGTAACGCGATATCTTTGTCAAGTAGACGTTGTTTACTGATTTTTTATTTTATTATTTTGAAATACATTTAAATACACACAATTGAAATATAATATACAATATTAAAAAATTGTAATAAAAAAAAAACTATTATTAAAAACTTAAATTATCATACAGTGTTGTATCATGTCAATAACGTTGGCTGCGTTTCCTCGCTAAATGCCTTTAAGCGAGAAAAGAATCAGCTATCACCAATAGCGACGACAAGTAGCGAATACAGTTCCATTAGGAATTTCATTGCACGTGGACCCCACGGACCGATAGTCTCTACAGCAAATGGCACAAATCTTTTAGAGACTCATATTTGCGCCAAAAAAATAGAATTATTAAAACCGGAACTAAGTGGTGTAGTCCACAAAAGTGGTCGTATTTCCATTTGGAGAAAATATTCTACCCCTAATGGTGGAAAATATGGGTTGAAATTTTAAATATAACTATTAAGATGATATTCTAGTCGCAACCTTGATTTTAAGCCATGTAGTTGCGGTGTGTGCACTATCCTATATCATCTCGTGGACTTCGTAAAAGGCGAAGGAGAGAATATGAAACAGTAGATGGGCAGCATCTTCCTGATAACATCTCAAACTTACAGAAAACTGCGGTTGCTAACTCGCCTGCAAAACATGGCAGCTATGACAAATTCCTCCTAATGAGTACTCGGTGGGGAAGGCCTATGTTCAGCAGTGGAATTTTACAGACTGTAATGCATTGGAACTTGAGGTTACCAAATTGCTTAGTCCACTTGGTTGTCGCTTCAAATACAAGAACTCAAACGTCAAAGTTGTGTCCCAGAAATTAATGTATTTTGTTTATATCGACTAATAAAAAGTGTTTTAAGGCCGATTTTAGAGTCGCGCCGATCGTCAGCGCTGATAGGTCAGCGCGTAGTTGTGGGAACTCGTTTTAGTGTTATGCTGACCGCTGCGAAGTACAGACATGGCTAATCCCATGAGTGTTAAAGTTGCTCGGCGCGTGCGTTTTTCGTGACATAGTAACGATAACTGAGCTCGGTAGTGCGTCAGCGCCGCGCGCTCAGCAGCGCTGACGCGCGGCGCGTACGATCGCGTATGGCTCGGTGCTGACGGTCGTCAGCGCTGAGCGGTCGGCGTTATTCTAAAACGCTCCTTAGGCACCCATACATATTGGCCTGTCAGCGCTGACGATCAGCGCCCCCCCCCCACCCCCGCGCCTGAAAATACATTCCATTAAGAATTTAATTGAGTATTTCATGTACACTAATACATTTTCAGAGAATTAACAATTAAACTTTTTATAAAAGCGAAACCAAAAACCTGAAACAATTAAATAATTTTCTCACAGTTTCTTAAGTCAGTACTCAGACATATTGTATTGAGGCATTAAAGCCAAGACTACACAAGCTATTTGAAAATTAATTTAGTTTTTGTTTTTAGTTTTACACACACACATAAAATACACATACATATAAAATACTGTTTCACACTCACACACTGTCACACATATAAAATATTGTTTGTAGTCCTCAATGTAGCTCCATATACTCATGATAAGATACGAATTCATTCGTAACCATAGGTTTTTTCAAGAGTGCACCAACTGAAATAAATTATGCTGGCAGGTGAAATAAGGAGCGTAGAGTCGGCAATCTCCACTGACTTAAACAATGTTGCTTCCTTTTACTAGTTTAGGGAAATTTGTAAGTCAAAAATCAATTTGCACATTTTTCGCCATAAAAGACCCTTTCGCCAGTCAGTATCATCATTATCATCATCACAGCCCTTCACAAGTCCACTGCTGAATATAGGCCTCCCCCAAGGAATGCCACAAAGCACGGTCCTGAGTCACCTACATCCATCGACTTCCTGGATATCTTACCAGGTCGTCACTCCATCTAGTAGGGGGACGTGCTACACTTCGCCTGTTGGTACGAGGCTGCCACTCGAAAACCATTTTCCCCATCGGTTGTCGGTTCCTCGAGCTATATATGGCCGGCCCATTGCCACTTCAGCTTACTAATCCGTTGGGCTATGTCGATCACTCTGGTTCTACTGCGGATATCCTCATTTCTAAGTTTATCATGTATACCCCCATGAAAGTAACGAAGTCAGCATATTACCATGTATTTATGGTTGGCATTTGAATTATCCTCTCTTTTCCCCTTAGTACTTGCTTAGTAACAATCAGAAAGTAAAACAACAATTTGAATGAACACTTATCTTGGTTCTTTGACGCTACGCTGCTTCTCATCGGTCTATGTTTGTATATTTGGCATGTTCATTCAAGGCCACAGCTGAATCTAGACCTCTCAAATAGATTGTCTCATATAGAAGATATTTGACATATTGGCCACGCTTAACAAACGCATTGGCAAGCGCAGTGTTCTTACATCTGATATTTACGAGATAATTATATTGCTGTTTAGAAGATATCCATGTTCAGCAGAGGACTTGTGAAGAGCCCTGTAAATGATGATGATGATGATGATAATCTATGCGACAGATCCTTTATATATCTATACAATTACATACATAATTGTTCATAATTCTACGTGGTAGAGCCATGCTGCAGCTATATTAGTAGTATAGTTGTAACACGAATGGGTCGGCTCGACCGGGGAAGGAATCGCAGAATACTAGCGTCAAATAGCAGCTTAACACTGCTGTGTTTCGAGAACCGGAGACCCTTTTTACTGGAAACGAGGCATTCCACCTTAGTCCTCACGGGTGGCAATGCATCTGCATTTTGATTCGCAAACGAGGATAAATGTAGATGTCTATGGGCCACAGCAATCACTTACCATCAGGTAGACTGTGTGCTCGTTTGTCACCCTATACTATAAAAAATATAAAGTAGGTTTCAGACAGATATTATACTCTTATATGTATGTTTATGTGTATAGATTTATAGTATGCGCGTGTGGGTTTCTTTAAATATTTTTCCGATTTGTTTTTCTGTTACCGCCTTCGACGTTATATCACTGCCCTAAAGTTGACTGACAGAAAAAGCTTTTAGTATTAAGTCCGCCTTTTGGTCCTATTCATTAAGTAAAGTTCAATCAAAGAGCAACACGGGCTATCGGCGGACTGGAGGGGAGTAGCCATAGCATTTTTACCCGATACAAAACAATTTGTCATGTTTTGCGAGGGGAAATCTGCGCACACAAAAAAAATCCTCTGTCGCTACGAACACACACACACACATTGATACATTATAACTGTATCGCTCGGTGACAACTCGAATCAGCCGCTCGACGGATCTGCATATTGTATGAGGACGATCGGCCTATGTTAATAAACAAATCCGAAACTATATGACCGTTATTGCTGTAATTTTTAAATTTAAATAGAACTCAAAAGAAATAATGTGATTAAAAATTACTCATGTGTATGAAAGGTAACGCGTTATTTTTTTTGTAATTTGGACTTGTCAGATCTCTTTTTGCAGCAAAAAACTGAGCAATTCTGCATTTTTGTGGGACAACTAGATTTAGTCTATTGAGCAGTGCGGGTGTAACCAGATTTATTGTACGCATACGACCGCGTGTACTTATAATTTGACAGAGGAGCGCCTGCGTATGGCTACTCCTTTCGGTCCAACGGTGGCCCGTGCGCTATGGGTTCATAAACAATAAATAAATAAATAATTTCTTATAGTCAACTCTTTCAATTTTTAACAATATATTGAATGGAATATGTCAAGCTGTTTCTAATTTATTTTGTGGAGTTAATTGCATAGCATAATATATGATTGTAAGCTGTTATTTTTTGTAAATATCCCGCTGGGTTTCTTGCTAGATAAATTAAAAATACGAATGACCTTTGATGAGTATTATATATAATTCATATTGAATAAAAAAGTTTCTATTATATTCAATACTACAATACTACAAAAGTTGTCGCCTACGATTAGTTAACAGAAAACACCATAAGTTACTTTATCTAATCCTAATTAATTAACTGGAGGCATTCACTATCAAGAACCATGTTATACAACTATCAAACTGAAATTATCTACACAGAATAATCCCATATAATTGATACAGCAGCTGCAAGACAATCAATTACGATTGATATCAGTTCGGGAGCAATGTCTAGGCCAAGTATCGCCAAGATTTATCTTATTCCGTTTCTTTACTGGTTGTTATGTAATTTTTATCTCTGACAAAAGATTAAGCTGCTGCAACTGTCCCTAAATTAAGTAACGTAATAAGATTTAATGTTAAGTAACAGATTTATTACCACGTGCGTAGTAATGATCATTTAATTTGAGATGGAGTGAAGCGAAATGTTGATTGGCCACCCACTAAATGGAGTGATGACCTGGTAAGTCAAGGGAGTCGATCAAGGGAGTTGGCTCAGTACCGTTTTTTTTTATAGGATAAGGGTGACAAACGAGCACACAGTCCACCTGATGGTAAGTGGTTGCTGCGGCCCATAGACATCTACATCTATCCTCTGTTAAAAACCAAAATGTAGATGCGTTGTCACCCGTGAGGACTAAGATGGAATGCCTCATTTCCAGTAAAAAGAGCCTCCGGCCACCTGCACTCACCAAGCGAAACGCAGAGGTAAACCTCTACTTCACGCTGGTTTTCTGTGAGGTTGTGGTACTACCCCGGTTCGAGCCGGCCCATCCGTGCGACAGCAAAAGCTGCCGCGTGGCTCTACCACTGTTAAATCCGTAAAAACCGTACCATGTGGCATTACTAGGGGGAGAATTATATTCAGCCGTGGACTTGTAAAGAGCACTACTAATGATGATTTTTATAAGTGGTCATGCTGCAGCTACAATATGGTTGTAGCACGAATGGGTTAGCTTGACCGGGGAAGGACCACG